CAGAGTCTACTGAACACCCTGAGCAACAATCTCCGCATGTTTGGCATGCGATTCGCCCCTATAAAATGTAAGATGATGCTGCAGGATTGGACTTCATCGACCCCTAGATTAGAAATAGGAAGTGAAGTGGTAGAACACGTTGACCGCTTCACATATTTGGGAAGTACCATCAGCCCCAACGGGTTGATCTCTGACGAAATCTCAGCACAGAGGGCTAGTTTCGCATATGCCAGTTTTCACCGTCTCTGGCGTAGACGCGATATCCGACTATCGACCAAAGGGCGTGTGTACTGCTCAACAGTCCGCTCCGTCCTCCTTTATGGCTGTGAGACCTGGCCATTGAGAGCAGAAGACATGAGAAGATTAGCTGTCTTCGATCATAGGTGTCTGCGTTCTATCTCCCGTGTGAAGTGGTATAATAAGGTGAGCAATATTGAGGTTAGGCGTCGAGTGCTAGGTAAGGCGTGGAAATCAATAGACGAGACTGTGAAATTACATCTACTGAGATGGTTAGGACATGTGCTACGTATGCCTAGTCATCGCCTTCCTCGACGGGCAATGTTAGCTGATATAGGGTCAGGCTGGAAAAGAGCTAGCGGCGGTCAAACCAAAACATGGCACCAATCAATGAAATCCACAACAGTTAATCTAAGCCACGTAGGAAGATGTAGACTTCCTGGTTGGGGCCCTCGGGATGGTAAAAACCAATGGTTGGAAACAATTGGTGACATGGCTCAAAATCGTTCTCAGTGACTGGTGCAGATGCATCCACTCCTTGTGACTCATGATTTCCAATGAAACTGTATTGTTCTCCGTTATTACTATTCCTTTGTCTCACACCTCTGTTTACTGACTATATTATGCATTTCTTCTACTTCCTTCTCTTGCTTTGCGTGCTACATAGATTGTGGCGACTTGAACTGCCGCACATATGTGCAAAGTTCTATGTCGAAAACCGACCGACCGACCGACCGACCGATATTGAGGTTAGGCATCGAGTGCTAGCTAAATAAGGAGGGGAAATCAGTAGACGAAGCTGTGAAGTTACATCGATTGAGAGAGATGGTTAGGACATGTCTGACTCATGCCTAGCCATCGCCTTCCTCGATAATGACCAATATTAGCTGACGGAAAATGGATCAGGTGGGAAAAGAGCCAGTGGTAATCAAACCAAAACATGGCTTCATCAGTCAATGAAATCCAAAGCAGTTAGTTTGAGCCAGACACATACGGAGGTGCAGACTTCCTGGTTGGGGTCCTCGGGACCGTAAACACCAATGGCTGAAGACAATCGGTGATATGGCTCAAAACGGTTCTCGATGACTGGTGCAGATGTATCCACTCCTTATGACTTATAATATCTAATGAAACTATATTGTCCTTCAATATTACTATTCTTTTTGCCTCATATCTCTGTTTACTGTCTCTACTTTGCATTTACTTTTACTTTCTTCTCTTGCTTTGTGTGCCACATGAAGTGTGGCGACTCGAACTGCTGCACATCGGTGCAAAGTTCTATGTTGAAAAACAGACAGACAGATAGAACTCTTCTTAGGTAATACACTATACACGCCTAACTTCGCTATTACTCACAAGTGAGAAAGAATAAAGATAATAGTAAAGAGACTTTAGAGTAGAAGTGTGCTGATTATCATGATTAGAAAGTATTGATCACAAACAACAACTAGGTCACATACAGAATTAGTCAATAATTAGAAAAATAGTAAGTAATTAAGGCATTTTCAACAAATAATGCCTTAAGTATTTTTGTGTTTGTTGTGTGTGTGTGTGTGTGTGTAACGTTGCTAAGATGAAGCAATCCAGAAAAGGTGTGTAATTATTACTACTACTGAATGTAATTGTTTATTATTCTAAAGATGGAAACAGACTAAATAGATAATCCAGCCCACCAACTAAATTAAGGCCTATGCAGCACTAAACTAAACTATGAACTACGCTCAGTGCATGATGAAAACAATTCTGCCATCTGGCTGCCTTGAAAACACCATGCTACAAGGAAGTCATCCATTATTATTATTATTATTATTATTGTTATTATTATTATTATTGTATCCTTTAATTCCTACAGGAACATAGGGCTTCAGCCGTGCATCCCCATTGCGTTCGGTTCTCTGCTAGAGTCTTCACCTGGCTCCATGTCTGCCCACACGTTTTCATCTCCTCTTCACATGACCTCCTCCAAGTCACCCTTGCACTGACGACCAACTGGCCGCTTCCCTTTCGGGTTCCACTCGAACAATGGCTTGTCTAGTGATGTCACTTGATGGTTTCCTAAGAGTATGGCCAGCCAATCCATCTCCATTTCTTCCTGCCTATTTGTTTCACAATCGGTTCCTGCTGAGTTGGTTCGCTCATTGCCAGAGATCCCTGTTGCTGATCTTTTCTGGCCGGCCATCTGATCTTGAGTATTGAGCGAAGACAACTGTTAATGAAGGTCTGTAGTTTGTTTGATATGCTCTTTATGACGCGCAGTTCAAGTCTCTGATCCGTATAGTAGCACTGACTGACTTCACATTGGAGTTGAAAATCCGGATTTTATTTTTGATGGTGAGTGTTGTTGACCTCCACACAGACTTGAGAGTAGTGAAAGCTTGTCTTGCTTTTCCGATTCTTGCTTTGATATCCTCGTCAGTTCCGCCTGTAGTTGAAACGATGCTTCCCGGGTAGGTAAAAGACGTTGTTTCTTTCAGGTTCCTCCCATTTATGCTGATTGTTGTCTGTTGTTGTTGCTGCTGTTGGTGTTGACCAGGAATCTTCGTCACCTCTGTCTTCTCTATGTTCACCTGAAGTCCTATCTTCTCTGGATGCTTCTTCTGCCAACTTGTTGCTTTTCGCTTGCATATCTTCCAGTTTGTGGGAAATCAGACATATATCATCGGCGAAGTCAAGATCCTCCAAATTTGTATGCCCTATTTTATAGATGACTTCTATAAGTCATCTATAGGGTAATAATAAGCTGGTGACTGGCTACACGGCAAAGTTGCCTGGAGTTCTAGTGACCAGTTATTACCAGTGGAATCTACAAAGCAAGGTGTGAGAACACACACACTCGCCGATGACAATGGTTAACGACCGTGCTGAAATCACGAACTGGTTGAAGTCCTCATTCATGGGCCAGTGGAAGAATGGTCTAATGGGCTTACTTTGCAACCGGGAAGTCCTGAGTTCGAACACCGGTGGGCGCGTGCTACTGAGGAGTCCCCAAACAAGGACGAAACAGGTATTCCGTACCGCCTCCCATGGTTTCCAATGGTTCTCTAACTGACATCGTACTGTGATAACACTTGAAACACACTACCTCTTCAAAATAAGCTAGGAATTACATTTACAGTTGAGTGTGACAATAGATATCCAATAGGACCAACATTATATATATTCATTTGTTGAAGTTCTTATTCTGAATTTTCCATAGACTGATTTCCATTGAACTAAAGTGCTCACTGAGTACACAAGTATATACAGCTGATGAGTCCCAAGTGCAGGAAAACGCGCATTCTGAATTCCACTATCATCTTTTCCCGGCTGACTACTGGCTAGGAGAGGTTTAGGGATGTGTCGACAGGGGATTAAACCTCAGACCGTGTGAATGGTTGACAAGAATTCTACCACTGACCCGCCAACATATGCTGCAGACTATGAACTATACCTAATGAGCGAGGGCTAATTATACTGGGGTGAGAGCTGTCTGCAAGAAAAATTATAGACAACAACTGACGTCAATGTTTACATCCCAAATCGGGGTCATGAGAAGAAAAAAAGCAAAAACAAAGCCTAACCTTAAGGAATTCAAAAGCCAATCACAGCAGACTTAGCGTGTGCAAATACGATTCGCAGATATATGGTTTAACTTTCTGAGAAACGGTCGGTCACAAACAGTACAGAATAACCCTCAGCAAGAAAACAACCAATCAGAAGACATTGTTTCTCTGACAACAATAACGCTAATAGTAACGTACATAAAAATCTATAAATATCTGTTGATTTTCTCAATAAACGATCTGTTGCCTGGCTGGTCTGGTCTTCTGATGTTAGAATACCACCCTGAGTGGGGCAGGGAACCCCAATCCAGAACACAATCACTGGTTGGTTGGTAATCAAGTGGTAGTGCGCCAGAGAGTCATACCAAAACACAAAAAAGTGATTTACATTTCATTTTTCGTTTGTTGCCTGCACTGATTTCATGTTACAAGATGCCTGTCCATAAATTATTCACATGTGCACAGAAATTAATATCGTTTAACAAAGTTGGAGGTTAGAACTAACTACATGGAGTGTGGCGACTTGAACTGCCGCACATCAGTGCAAAGTTCTATGTCGAAAACAGACAGACAGACAGACACAGCCAAATGAGCACTACAACTACGCACGAAAGCTAGGTAAGGCGGGGAAATCAGTCGACGAGACTGTGAAATTACATCGACTGAGATGCTTAGGACATGTGCTACGTATGCCTAGTCATCGCCTTCCTCGATGGGGAATGTTTACTGATATAAGGCCAGGCTGGAAAAGAGCTAGAGGCGGTCAAACCAAAACATGGCACCAGTCAATGAAATCTACAACAGTTAGTCTAGGCCACGTAGGAAGGTGTAGACTTCTTGACTGATTGGGATCCTCCGGACGGTAAAGACCAATGAATACTGGAGACAATTGGTGACATGGCTCAAAATCGTTCTCACTGGCTGGCGCAGATGCATCCACTCCTTGTGACTTATGATTTCCGATGAAACTGTTCGTTCTTCGTTATTACTACTCCTTTGTCTCACACCTCTGTTTACTGTCTATATTATGCATTTCTCCTACTTTCTTCTCTTCCTTTGTGTGCTACATGGAGTGTGGCGACATGAACTGCCGCACACTTGTGCAAAGTTCTATGTCGAAAACCGACCGGCCGACAACTACTCACAAGTAGGGAAAAAAATCGAATAAAACATTAACGCAGCATATATTAATGAAGAAGACTGGAAAAGAAAAAAACTTACGCAGCTAAGACGATTCCATTTACAATTAGATTACGAAATGGTGGTTGATCGAATAACGCGGTGGACAGTACAAGTAGAGTGTAGAACCACCCCCTTGTTTGATCAATACCTTCAGCAATAAAATCCGCTGGAAAACCTTCATCGAAAACATTTCTGTTCTCAAATGGATAATGAATCTGTATTTTTTTTAAAAAAAAGATAAAGAAAAATATTCGATAAAAAAACGGAAAATAATAACACATCTTCTAGATAGTAAGTAATACAAGTGAGAAGTCCTTGAAAATCATTTATAATCACGATTAGGACATTTCAAGGATATTTTTGTAAGTATTATTATTCTATTTTATACAAACTTGTTACATTACGGGGAAGTTGGAATGCATGGACCATTAGGGTGGGTCCCAGTGGCTGAATGGTCTACAAGTTCGCCTCATAACCGGGAGGTCCTAGGTTCCAACCCTGGTGGTGAGTGAGTACTGCTGTGGAGTTCCAAATTAGGATGAAACAACTGGCTATCCAGTACAGATTTCGTCATAAGGTCTTCTGGATGAGTGAAATACTTTCCAAAACCATAAAATTACACTGCGAACTTGATTATCCAGAACAGATCTCTTATCTATCAGATCATAAGCCATACTTACTATGTGAGGGTCGATGATACAACCAATATGCTCAGGTGTATGGAACTCTGGTTCACTGGTCTAGACGCATGACTTTTAACCATTGGGGTCACGGGTTTGAAATTGACTCGACTCACCGAGGTCTTGGCAACCCCGTGTAGTATAACCAGTCCTCATACAGCAGATGTGGCCAATTGATAACTGCATGGAATCACAAGTGGTTGAATAACACTGAGCTGATTAGATTAACTTGCTCAGGCCAACGTAGGTAGGGTAGAGTACGAATCCATGATCCAATGGCTGCTTAGGCCGATGAGTCACCTCTTCACAATAAAATCACACTAGCAATTACACGACGATGTTTATGATATTAACAGAAGATAGTGGTGGGAACTGGCAGTATTTGAAAGCCATTAATGTCGGTCGCATAACAAACATTTGCTCCATATCGTATTCACTCACCATTTTTGAGTGTATAATAAACTCTTATAAACGAGTAAACCGTCTAATTTATGAGAACTAATACATTTTTATTTCAGGATATCACAACATCTTATTCATCGCAACAATTCAACGTAACATGAATTACTTCAAACTCAAATTCCATAAAAGTACCACTTCAAATACAAATTTGATACACTGATCCTCATGAGAAATTAGATCATAAGCTGACATCAGTTGGAGAACCACTGGGAACCAGGGAGTATTGGACAACTTGTGACTATCCCCAGTCACGATCTTCAGGTTACGAGGTGAGCCTGTAGACTGACTATTCAGCGTGTGGTCTGGATTTCGATCCCCGGCCACCCACCAGGCACTCCCTTACCTCACTAAGCCAGTAAATAAAACTGGTAAAGATGGAAGGTTGGGCATGAGGCTGGCTATCAACCCCATCTCGTAAAAGTAAACACCACTGCTACCGAAACTTCAAGCCTCTCTAGCTTGATGAAGTCCTATGTTCCACTGGGGATGTAAAGGAATGAAAAATAAAATCCTGTGACCAACTTTTCAAACACAACGTAACAATATCACGGTCAGAAACTGTAGTAATTAAGATACTGTCCTATCCAGGTAGATTTTCCATAAATAGATCTTTTTATTGACCTATCAAGCCGTCGACTAAGTAATATGTCTAGGAAAGATAAACAAATATCTTCTTCCTCTCTTGTCAACGTGCAAATCCCCAACGCATAAACTTGCTAAATGGTTAGTAGAATTATTGCATCCAGTCAAAACACAATTCTGTAAGTATGTACTAAAAGATACATGTGAATTGGTTAATTTTCTTGACAATAGTAATATTAATATTATGAATAAGAATTTGTACTCTTTTGATGTAAACTCGTTATTCACTAATGTGCCTTTGCTCAAAACAGTTGACATTTTGTGTGATTATATTTCCACAAACAATTTTTCCACCCCGTTCCCTATATCTTATTTAAGGGATTTATTACTTCCATGTACTAACAATGTTAGGTGTACATTTGAAGGCGATTGTTTCCGCCAAGTTGATGGTGTTGCTATTATGGGAAGTCCGTTAGGGCCCCTTTTAGCAGACATTTATACGTCATACATTGAGAATTTATCAGAGGATTTAATCGAAAATGTGCTACTTTATAGGTGTGTAGATGATATTGTAATCATAAGTGATAAGCGTCTTGTTCTGCCACCTCAATTTTAAATCGAATGGTGAATGAAGTTCAGAATAGCAAGCATATCACTTACATCTGTCTGTAGAAGAGGAAGATAATTGTTTATCTTTTCTAGACATATTGCTTAGTCGACGGCTTGATGGGTCAATCAATAAAAAGATCTATTAATATCATTGTCATTGAGAGGATATAAAAAGTGAAACGAAGAAGAATTTTAAAGAAAGCCAGCATAGACGTGTATTCGTGTGTGCAGATGTGTGCGTGTGTGTGTGCAGGTGGTAGTGGTAGTGGTACTTTATGCAATCAAAATACTCATAGAGAAGATTATGCAAACACTTTGTCAACTGACCTGAGCATACGGCATAGAACCGGACTCGAACCAACAGTCAAATACCTCAGTAATACGATGCAATACACCACGTCCAGTCGGTGATGGTATAGTGATTGGATCAACACTTCAGAGGTGAAAGGTAAAAAGTAAAAACAGTCTTTAAATTCATAATAATTATCTCATTAGATGCATAAACTCAGAAGAATAAGAAACAACAACAATAAAAAAAGGGTGAAAATGATAAACTACACATTGTAGTTTTTCTTCAAAGGACAAACTTACAATTCTTTGTGTAAATCTTTCACCTCTACACCAGAGAGTTGCTTCAGTTCTTCAATGGAACCAACACAAATCACCTCTTCGAAATCATCACTAGCCCAAATTGGTATCGGTGTACCCCAATATCGATTTCGCGAGACAGCCCAATCTCGTGCATCACGTAACCAATTAGCGAAACGACCTTCACGGACAAAATCTGGCACCCTTTAGAGCAGATGGATAGATAAAGAAATAAAATAATCAAAGAAAAAGCAAAAGATGAAAGTATCTTTCTCACTGAAATAATATATAAGTAGTATAATGCGGACAGAACAGTTTACATTGGAAAAGCATCTGTACTAAGAATGATCTTGTAAAAACAGTCCCAGGTTCCAATAAAATAAGACATAATTACATTTGTAATTAGAGGTCTATGCTATTGGCGTAGAAATACGACTCATTGGCATCAGCATACGACTTCTGGTCAACGGATTCCGTCAGATTCGAATCTCACTCCACCTACCTCAGGCTGGGCAACTATTGAATAGTGTCATCAGGCGTCACACAATGATTGTGTGGCTCATAGACCTGAGGTTTAGTAGTAGGGTGATCGCCAAGCAAGCGCGTGGCTCAGGTTCGATTCCGGGTTGACGCACTCTGAAACCTCGCACAGGCAATAATAAGCCCAGTAATGTGGGAAGATTAGGTGCAAGGCTAGCAACGCCACTCTGTAGAAAAACAGTCGTAACAACAGAAGACAAGGATCAGGCAACAGATCGTTTATTGAGAAAATCAAGGGGTATTTATAGATTTTTATGTGCATTATTATTAGTGTTATTGTTAGCTGAGAAGCAACCTCTTCTGATTGGTTGTTTTCTTGCTGAAAGTGGCTATTCTGTTATCTCTTTGTGACCATTTCTCAGAAAATCAAGTCGTATATTTGTGAATCATATTGCCACACTTTAACTCCGCTGTGATTGGTTGGTGACTTTCTCAAGGTTAAGCTTTGTTATTGTGTTTTCTCATGACCCTGATTCGTGACGTGAACATTGACGTAAATTGTTGTCTACAATTTTGGTTTGTTCGCAGACAGCTCTGACCAAACAGTTACTTGAACTTTAGAACTCAATCCTGAAGCCCCATGTTCGATTGGCTGGCTGGCTGGATTCAACATAGAACTTGGCACAGAAGTGCAGCAGTTCGAGTTGCCACGTTCCAAATAGCACACAAAGGTAGACAAGAAAATGAGTGAAGAGAATCAATAGAGTTTTGACAAGTATAAGAGCGAAACAGAATGAAGAGTGGTAGAAAGGAATATGAAAGATTACAGAGACTGAATACATCTGCGTAAGCCATTGACAACAATTTTGAGCCATATCACTTATTGTCTCCAGCCATTGATTCTTAGAGTCCCGAGGGCCCCAACCCGGAAGTCTGCATCTCCCTACCTGACAATCCGAAGTGCACGCGAAACCTCTCTAATCCTCACTCATCTTTGTATCCATCTTCATCTCTATTATCTTGCCTTCCTTCTACCAATGCAACTCCTCTGCTTGATGGCTCTTCACTTCCTCTTCACTCTGTGTGCACTGATAACGATGGAAGCCATGTTCGATTAGGAACGCAAAGAAACGACAGTGAAATAGTTCCGTTACGGGTAACTGAGTACTAACTGACTAACACTATAAGCGTGAGTCAGTGGCACAGTGGTAGAATTCTCACCAACCACACCTCATGTGGTTCGGAGTTCGATCCCCGGTCACCGACGCACTCCTTTAAGTCGCTAAGCCAGTAAAAAAGACTGTTGATGAAGGAAGGTTGGGCATGAGGCTGGCTAGCAACCCCATCCTGTGAAAATAATCACCACTGCTACAGAAACTTTAAGCCTCTAGCTTGAAGCCCTATGTTCCACTGGGGGGAACGTAAAGGGATGAAAAAATTCAAATTACTTCATAAACTGATAGACACATGAAGACAGCTCATGCTATCAATTCCTCACAAATTCAACACGTATGCAGAATGGCGGACATTAGCCCAATTCAGAGGAAAATCAACAACGGCGCGTCAGGCTACTCTAATATTATATTTGAAGTAATACACTCAAACAATACAAAGGATTTATAAACCAGTAAGAGCCAAGTTTACAACATCAACAACATACCATTGACACTTGGCATTATTAGCCAATAGCTTGTCAACCAATTGTTCAACACGAATAAACCAAGTTGGTATAGCCTTATAAATTAATGGAGTATCTGATCTAAAAAATAAAAGAAAATAATAAAATAAAACAAACAAACAAAAATAGACACAGTATCATTTATTGAACAGAGGATCAGTCAGACAACACAGGTCAATAATGAGGCCTACATAATAACCAAACCCAAGCAAACAATGAGAAATTTGACAAGTTCCGATAAAATAAAAAATGTCGATCAAAAATGACTCAGTTGCTACGGAATGACGCTCGGGGGGGGGGGGGCTGTATCGATGGCGTCTCAATAAGAACATCATCATCATCACCCATTTGGATTGCGATATGTATATCCAGCTGACAGATTCTGAATAGGAAGACATGTCTGTCTGCATGTCTGTTTTCAACATAGAACTTTGCACCGATGTGCAGCAGTCCAAGTCGCCACACTCCATGTAGCACACAAAACAAGAGAAGAAAGTAGAAGAAATGCATAATAGACACAGTAGACAGGGATATGAGACAGCAGGAATAGTAATAACGAAGAACAATATAGTTTCATTGGGTATTATAAGTCACAAGGAGTGAATGCATCTGCGCCAGCCATTGAGAATGATTCTGAGCCATATCACCAATTGTCTCCAGCCGTCATTGGTTTTTACCGTCCTGAGGACCCCAACCAGTTAGGAAGTCTACACCTTCCTACCTGACTAGCTTAAACTAACTGCTTTGGATTTCATTGACTGATGAGGCCATGTTTTGGTTTGACCATCAGTGGCTGTTTTCCAACCTGACCCTATGTCAGCTAACACTGCCCATTGTCGAGGCATGCATAACACATGTCCTAACCATCTCAGCCGATGTAGCTTCACAGTCTCGTAGATGGACATGTAGGTCTTTGGTTTCACTGCTAACCAGTATGCATCATCAAACTAAATACGGTAAGTTCGTAAGCGAAAACTACACGAGCTTATTGATTAGTTGGTCATTATCTCACATCATGCCAACTTCTGCCTCCTTTCTATCTTATAATTAGTCAACCCATCTAGGTTACACCTTACGTTATGTAATACATTTTTCGAGGACAAAGTTTACTAGTAATCTGATTGGTTGTCTTATGATTTCTTTGTTAAATATAATTACGATTATTGTACAGCAGCTTATGAAAATGAATGAATCGTCGAAAAGAAAATTTTCTTCGCTATTTATGCCTTTTTCTTATGACTAAACGTGTTCGCCGAAAATACAATATTTTCACCACAATCTAAGTAAACTGATCATCCACCTTAGAAATACAACAACACCAATACCACCAACAACAACAAGGTATACATACTTACCTCCAACAAAATGGATAACTGTGAGTAATTGTACTCTGATTCACCAGACGACCACGTTGTTTCAAATTCTGACAAATAGACTTATCAGCGTCTTTTACATACATTCCAGTGAAATCTTTAATTTCCTCAGTGAATCGACCATTTGGATTGACGGGACAAATCATTGGTGTATCTTTGCCGACAACTCCGTTCGTAAGACAAACACGGAAATCATCCTAGCATAAGAAGAAGAAGAAGAACAAGGAGAAGATAATAGAACAACAAAAAATCGTGTGAACCATTAGGCAAATCATAAAACTCTCTGATAAAGTATTACTTCTGCATTATAGCCATATAGGTCACAGGTTCGAGTCCTGGCCCCGCGACCGCTGCATAACTGAGTGACACATCAGCAGCCCACAAACAATAAGTGTAGCGCATAACCGGGTACATTAAAAATCTACTTCAGATGACTAGATTCAAAAAATGACGTTAGTAATATGGTAATACAACCCAGCAACCCAAAACTATTATTTATTTATTTAAACGCAGAAGAAAAAACTTGGCACAATATGGCACCACGAAAGATGCGCCACACAATAATAATAAAACAACATAGATTAAAAGTAAAAAATATAAGTAGAAAACGGATAAAGAACTTCATCTGGAAGGAAAACAGTCATGTTTAACAAGTTCAAACAGTATTCGTTAAATATCACCAGGAAGGGAAGATAGAAGGAAACTGAAACACGTTCGCCATTGATTACGATTCTTGGCCATATCCGATAACGTTTCGAGCCATCGATTCGAGCTATCTCTCAGACCCCAACCAGGGAGTCGTGACACACCAACCGATGCTAATCTAGCACAGAAATCCTTCATCCCACGACGCCACGTCATGGGCTGACCACCTCTCCGCCTTTTCATCCCGTCCCAGGGCTAGCGAACAGAGACCTGTACGGAAGCCTCTGGGGTGACATTCGCAGCACATGTCCAAGCCACCGGAGCCGGTGTTTCCAGATCACGACATTCAATGAATGGTGATCTCCACTGTGTTCAAACACACGCCGCTGAACCTCAGAATTACTCACGCGATGATGCCATCTAACGCAAGCAATCCTGCGGAGACAGCGATGATCGAACACGCAGAGTCGCAGCACATCCTCAGCTCCGAGAGGCCAGGTTTCACAGGCGTAGAGCAAGACAGCCCGCACAGAAGTATTGTATAACCGACCTTTGACAGCCAGGCTGACGTCGCGACGGCGCCAGAGGTGGCTCAAGTTGATATATGCCACCCTAGCCTTCATTATACGGTTGGAAACCTCCGCCAGCACTCACACAACTACCCAGGTACACAAACTTACCAACAACTTCAAGCGGTTCACCCGCAAGAGTGAGTGCAGGTACATGCTCCTGCCAATCTTGTAACAGTACTTTGGACTTAGACGGTGCAAAGCACATACCATACCCAAAACTAGGCTGTGTATGGGTCATAGGTAGCTTTTGAGGATTTATGAGGCCAACCGACTGTCTGGGGGTCAAAACAAAATGGTTTAGGAGTAGTTAAGTTAATAGCCCAGTTTTAAAACATCTCTGTACGCATAGATCACGACAACCGGAATAACGACACATACTCTTTTTATTATTTTATTCCTTTACTTCCCCCAGTGGAACATAGTGTGGTGAGAGCTGGCTGCTAACCAGAATTGGTAGACAGTGTAATTTACGTCAATGTGTACGTCCCCAATATTGGTCATGAAAAAAGAAGAAGAACAAAGACTGACTGACTCAACAACCAATCACAGCAGACTTTGCGTAGGCAGATACAATTTGCAGATAGATAATCTGAACTTTAAGAAACGGCCACAAAGAGATGAAAGATTAACATTCAGCGAGAAACCACCACCAATCAGAAGACTGTGTTTGTTTGCTTACAATAATCTATAATAATGTACATGAAAGTCTATAAATATCTGTTGATTTCCTTAATAGACGATCTGTTACCTGGCCCTTGTCTTCTGTTGTCTTCAAGCTAGACAGGCTTGAAGTTTCCGTAGCACTGGCGTTTATTTTTACGGGATTGGGTTGCTAGCCAGCCTCATGCCCAACCTTCCTTCTTTACCAGTCTTACTTACTGGCTTAGCGAGGTAAAGGAGTGTGTCAGTGGCCGAGGATCGAACCGCGAACCACATGAGGCGTGGTTGGCGAGCACTCTACCACTGTGCCACCGATGCAACAATACATACATTTGACATAGTTTAAGCGGAAATCATTTACAAAAAAGGACATTGGCTTTCAAATTTTGTGAATAAACTGCAAAGAGTCTCTATGGAAGTAAACTAAAAATACTTACTAAACTAACTTTACTAGCTCTTTGTCAAGAAATCAACAAGACTATTCGGTAAACCAATCACAGGTTTGCGACAAGAAACGAAAGTGGTTTGGAAATCATATCCTAAGTTTTTTTAAGGTGAACATGGAACCCACGTTAAATACAATCTGTAATCATGCATAAAGTGTGGGTACGTTTCGTCAGCGCTATTCCAGATATCAGTCTTCTTCGCTTTGGATATGAACGCAAACGTTGTAGATTGGATAACTTTTATCGGTGTCTATGAAAGTATAGTACTTGGTTGATTGTGGCTAGCAGTGGAATTTAGAAGGTGCGTTGCGTCCTGTTTGAAACTCATCAACTGGATGTACCTTCACAGCCAGTGAGCGACAATGGTGTTTCACACACCACAGTATTATACACTAGGCCACTGAGCCTCGTCATGTGCAACGAGTATGGGTGACAGTAGACACGCTGTTCCTTAGAATAACTGCTTCGACAACGCCTTAAGTGCCAGCTGCTTTTCATCGTAGGTGTCTGTGTTCTATCTCCCGTGTGAAGTCGTACAATAGGGTGAGCAATATTGAGGTTAGGCATCGGTCGAATGCTAAGTAAGGAGGGAAAATCAATAGAAGAGGCTGTGAAGTTACATCGATTGAGAGAGATGGTTGGGACACGTGTTACCCGTGCCTAACTGAGCCATCACCCTCCTCAATGACAGGCAAAGTTAGCTGACATAGGGCGGATCAGATTGGAAAAGAGTTAGCGATGTTGGTGAGACCAAAACATGACTTCATCAGTCAATGAAGTCCAAAACAGTTAGTTTAAGCCACATAGAAAAGTGTAGAAATCCTGGTTGGAGTCCTCCTCAGGATGGTAAAAACCAATGAAGGCTGGAGACAATTTGTGTCATGGCTCAAAATCGTTTTCAATGGCTAGTGTAGATGCATCCACTGCTTGTGATTTAAATTGTTCTTCGGTATTACTATTCTTTTTGCCGCATACCTCTGTTTACTGTCTCTGTTTTGCATTTCTTTTTTACTTTCTTCTTCTCTTGCTTTATGTGCTACATGGAGGCAGTTTGGCAACTCGAACTGCTGCACATCAGTGCAAAGTTCTGTGTTGAAACCAGTCAGTCAGTCGGTTGGTCAGCTAAAACACTCAAACGCAACAGTTAAATAATCATTCTGAGATTTACTCTCAGCGATTGCAAAACTACTGTAGCGAGCAACGGAGTTTTTACATAACCTGAGAGGTTTTTATTTGGAAATGAATAACTGACAAGTCAAGGTACCACTGCCGACGAAACAGACGCTGGCGGAGATCTATCAAAAAGATTCCAACAACAACAAAAAATGGTCAAATTGCGCGCATCCGCTTTGATTCCGAATTCAAGAACACAAACTAGCTGTGAAAATGTAGACATTTTAAACAGTGGGGAGACACCAAAAATTCCAGGAGACTTCTAGAAGCCTGGTACTTAGATGAATCAGCGATTAAGAGACACAGTACTATAGGTCAAATTTACCAACTAATAAAGAATAAGCCACACGATAAGTCAATAAAAACAACCAACACTGACGCAACAGCCAATCACGATAAAGATTGTCAGGAGATACAATTATATCATTCATGGAGAAGAATTCAAATAAAGTCACTTCATAGCATAGTTTTCCCTGAAAATGTTGTCTAGAAGGACAACGAAAGCATCGCAATTAAACCACCCAGCTGAGAGAACGCCACTCCATCAAAGGGTTTCCAGTGATATCTTACAGCAAGCAATATAATTCAGTAACGGAATCATGAGACAGGGTTAATTCCAGCACATTCCGGCAAAGACTTAGCTGTGGAATGAACAGTTTTCAGCGGTAAGACCAATCAAAAGTGAGATTCTTAGCAGAATCGACAGTCTTCCCCTGAATCGTCCGAATCACACATATAACCGGCGACTACTGAGTTAAAACATAAATATAATTATTGGGCACAAAAATCAAACAATAGTGGGTTGCTTTATTTATTTACAATCGTAAATGTTAACTTGGTAGGTATGACTAGAAAAGTTGACAAGCATAAGACTTACCTCACCAAAATATGGAGCTTGGTGTACAATACCAGTACCAACATCTTCTGTTACATAAGTATCGCATAAAACACGGAATGCACCACGTTCCTTTTTAAGCTATACCATGTGTTTTTAAGAAAAAATAATAAAGGCAGTACATTAGAACAAATACATTTTATAATAACGATATTCGAACTATTTTTCCACAGCAAAAAAATGTGGAAATTACAATATTGCTGTTTTAGTTGGAAATGAATGGAAGGGAAAAAATGTCCTCGTATAGTTTTGTGCAGATTTTACTACATTGTACAAATGTTGAAGTCAGAATTACACTTGTTTAAATTGAGAACTGTAGAGTTCCATAGTCAATCCAATGATAGAGATGTCTACAACAACAACGACAACATTTTAAGACATGAGCTTGATATCCTGCTATCGACCATAGGGCGTATTTACTGCTCAGTAGACCGCTAAGTCTTCCTTTATGGCTGTGAGACCTGGCCACTGAAAGTGGAAGACATGAAAAGCCTGGCTAGCTGTCTTTGATCATAGGTGCCTGCGTTCTATCTCCCGTGTGAAGTGGTATAATAGGGTGAGAAATATTGAGGTTAGGGATCTGTCGAGTGTTAGTTAGGTTGGAGGGAAATCAATAGACAAGGCTGTGAAGTTTCATCGGTTGAGATGGTTAGGATATGTTACTTATGCCTAGTTATCACCTCCCCTGACGGGCAATGTTAGCCGACACAGAGTTAGGTTGGAAAAGAGCCAGTGGTGGTCAAACCAAAACATGCCTTCATCAGTCAATGAAATCCACAAGAGTTAGTTTAGGCTGGCCACTTATGGAGATGCAGACTTCCTGTTTGGGGTCCTCGGCATGGTAAAAACCAATGTCGACTGGAGACAATTGGTGATATGGCTCAAAATCCTTGTTGCCAATAATGACGTAGATGCATTCACTCTTTGTGATATATAATATCCAAAAAAATTCTATTGTTCTTCCATATTACTGTTCTTTTTGCCTCATATTTCTGTTTATTATCTCTCCCTCTTTTGAATCTCTCTCTACTCTCTTCTTTTGCTTTGTGTGCTACATGGAGTGCGGCAACTCGAACTGTTGTACATCGGTGAAAGTTCTACGCTGAAACCAGTCAGACTTGAACTGAGAACTAAGTTACACGGACTAACATCCAATGCGTGAGCACTAATTACACTACTCAGAATTTGAAGACGGACTTGGACTTTGGACATGCTGGCTCAAAGTCGGGCTCTTTAGCCAACGGGCTACATCTCCACTATTTCGGCATATGAAAATCAATTCTCTACATATACACATCTGAACGTTCGTTAGCTGTATAATCGTGTTATCGGTAGTACTGTTTTGTAAAAAAAACTACATAGCCCAACAGAACATGTTAGACATAATGAATAGCTACAAGCTACTCTAAACAGGTATTTTATAGCAAACCTTCAAATTAATATTGTTTACTCAAATTCATTTAGTTTGAACGACAGATGTACACGCTAAAAACTTGCTAATGAATTAGACCCCTAAATGAGTGATATAGTTTCTCACTGCCTGCAACCCCTTGAATTTATATTTTGTCTGAACTCATTTACGGAGAAAAGATTTTGTGTGTACTGGGATAAGGATCACATCTATTGTATGAGTATTGAAGTAGGCCGAACCCATGACTCAGTGACTAAAAACTGAGTGCTTAAATCAATCAGCCACATCTTCTTGTTACAAGTAACAAAACTCATACAGCATCACGAGAAGTTTTAGTTACTCATAATGTTCTATTGTAAATTCTTTTTGTGCGACTGTCAACTTCATAGAGATATCTAATCAACAGACTTCCGTACACTACCCACTTTCAATTATCTGACCAGTTAGCAAAACAATAATTGTTTACTGTCAGAAAAATAGGATCCCAGTGGCTGAATGGTATATGAGCATGCCTTGTAAATGAGAGGTCCTGGATTTAAAGCCAGGTGGGTGCGTACTGCGCGTCAGTGGCTCAGCGACAGAACGCTCACCAACCACGATTCACGTGGTTCGGGGTTTGATCTCCAGCCGACGCACTGTTAAACCACGCTAAGCCAGTAGTAAGCCCAGTAAAGAGGGAAACTTTAAACCTCTAGCTTAGCGATCTGTGTAAAGGAATGAAAATCAAAGAAATAAAGGTATAGTATTCTTATTGAACAACCAAACAGAATTTAACTATCAAAGCGACAATCACTTACATGTATGAAATAATCAAACGGCGGTTGATAAGTCAGGTCTTTCAGGGATTTACCTTTAAACCTACAAAAAAAAATTAAAATCAACAAAATGAAAAGGTTCCCCTTTAATATTAACAGTTAAGGCCTTTGGAAACCTACTGAAGAAACGGCAATTATCGGTAAGTGTATGATGTCTTAGCCTATTACCTTAAGTGATATATATTACTTCAACTTTCATTAGAAACTGATTGCACTACAATTGGTTGGAAATTACTTAAGATGTGAAGTGATATACCAGTCTGTAAATGACATATTTTGGATCTAAGGAATCCATAACTGTTTCTCAAACATTAGCATAATGGTATAAATTTAAAATTTTTTTAAAATAGTAATAAGCACAGAATACGGACTGTTCTCAAAACAAGTAAATGGATATCGAATACCAACTGAACAAGCAGTGTACTTATATCAACAATGTCATATGCTAGTGAGGACTACAAGCAGCCGTGACTCATTGACCTATGGACTTAACTTCCAACTATTGGGTCACAGGTTCAAACGGCTCTCCATCTACTGAGGACTGGAAAACCACGTGGCATCATTAACCCTCCTACTATAAGTGACCCACTGCCAACTGCATGGATATGCAATTGGCTATTGAATAACATTCTGAATGAGGATCAAAGAAGAAAGATTCATAGTACGAATAAGAGGTTTTTACGTATTACAAGTAAATATTTGCCCGCACTTACATGTATTACCATATGTGGGATACAAACCATATAAGAATGAATAGTATATGCGATAAATTCAGGGTTTAAAAAGCCTGGTTTCCTAAACTTATTGGAATGTCATAAATTCGGCTACAAGTGAAAGTCACGTACATAGATTTTATAAGTATTTGCCCAGATAAAGTCAATTATCCCTGGATGAGTCAGTATTCTTAATCCTTCTTTACGATGTAAGAAAAATAAGAGGACAATTTAACTTTAACTGAATGATTGTAGGTACAGTTGGTAATATAATTGTCATAAAAATATTGTAGGTATTAGTGTACAAGATTAAAAACTTACGTTTCTAGTATTTTGTAGTCACTTTCTTGTTTATACAATGATGTCAGACGAACTTTCATTAGCATGAATTTTCGATTCTTTGCTACATCTGACAGAAATGTAGAAAAAGCACTTTCATTTCAATTCGTATAAAAAGAAACTAAAAGTTATTTCTACGAAAGTTAAGGAAGTATTATCGTGCATCAGACAATCCATACGTCAAACAAGTTGCCACCGGCTATTTGAACAGATAAACAATGAAAACGCTATGGTGAAAGCTCGAAACATAGTTACGTACATAGAAAGACTCTTCAGTGGTTTTGTGGTGAGCATGCTCGCCAACCATGCATGTGGTCATAGGTTCGAATTACGGCCAACTCACTCCAAAACCTAACCTAGCTTAGTAGCCGGATATTAAACTCAAAAGAGAGGGAAGCTGTCGCTACTGAAACTTCAAGCATGAAGGCACTATATTACACACGGAACGCAAAGGAATAAGAACTTATCATTAACAGCATGGAATCTGATATCACTGTACGGTGATCCGAATTGGCGTCCCTTACGACTGCGCAACAGGCAGAAGATGACTTGAAGAGGGAAGAAAAATTCGAGGAAGAAGTACTAAAACTTGTACAGTTCTCTTTAGGCTAGCAGGTAGTGGCACGATTCGTTTAGTTTAACTCCATCACCTGAAATGTGAGTGATAAATGTTGAAAGTAGTCTACTAATCTTACAGCAAATTGTCAATGATTTATAAAATGCTTCAACCTATGTAATCCACACAAAATATGGAAACATTGTATTTTGGAAATTACATTTTTTTGTATCCCCTAGCAGACCAACTTTCATGTAGAATTATACACAAATTCAACAATTTAGTTACAGCCACCCAATTATTTCTAAGTATAAATCTGCTACAAAAAGCAAATGTCGAATATAACATCAAAAGTGAGCTGAATTAATACATAATATCAATAAACAGATAATTATTATAACGAAGATATTATCAGTTAAATAAGCACATTACTACAACTTACCCAGAATCTTGACATATTCTTTCTCTGGATGGACACAAAGAGCAAGATTGCTAACAAGTGTCCAAGGAGTTGTTGTCCAAGCTATCATTGAGGTTTCAGGATCATTATCAAGCGGGAAACTAACAATAACTGCAAAATTATACATCAAGAATAGACAAGTTACTAGCTGGATCTTGAACATCTTTGTAATTTTGGCCAGCCTCAAAATTAGAAAGAGGAGTAGAGCATGCAGTGGAAAATGGCATAACTTTGAGACCACGATATACCAGTCCTTTGTCATACAGCTGTTTGAAGACCCACCAAACTGATTCCATGAACCACGGATACATTGTCCTGTAATCATTTTGGAAATCTATCCACCGACCAAGACGACTTGTGACTTTCTAAAACTGACCTTTAATTGTAGCAACCTACCTCCCATTGGGAACTGTAACGCATGACTATAGCACGGCATTTATCATTGTAGTTGGCTACTCCCATTTTCTCTACATCATGTGGTCCAGTAATGCCAAGTTCCTTGTCGACTTCATACTCCTGTTAAGTAAAATGTGGATGTAAAATGTTAACTAACCACAGGTAATCCATGGCAGTCCCACCCAAAACGCCGTTCAACATGATGCCCTCTTTGATGTGCATAACGAGTGACTATGTCCTTTATTGTTCCTGCTAACAGATGGCCATAGTGAGGAAGGCCTGTGGCGAATGGTGGGCCGTCATAGAACGTGAACCTGAAACGCATGTAAAATTCGACATGAAGAGATATCATTATACATAAAACTTAAAATCAAACTTGTTTATAGAACGGGCACTTAAAATGACCCAAATAAAAATCTTTGTGGCAATTTAAGGGGTGTTTGGGACAGCTACTGGGTTTTCAAAAAATTTAAGGATTATTCTTGGGGAATGGTGTGGGCTTGGGGGAAATTTGGAGGCTTAGAGGTTTCCCGGAGAATTTTTCGGGTTTTAGGGAGCACAAGGAGAAATTTTCCGAAAATGTTTGCATTTAGTTGCTCCAATTTTTTTCTCTGGGTATGTTTAATTAATACGTTTACCGTATTGCGAAACTGATCAAGTAATGCTGAAATAGTTCAGACAGGTGCATTCCACCACACTTAATACAATTATCTGCATCACTGGCTTTTTTGCAGCATCATTTGCATAAACTTACCGCGGCTTCCCATGTGACTGCTTCTGGGATGTCCTGAATGTGTCATTACTCTCCCAGAAGCTAAGAACTTTAGACTCTTCACCTGGAATGTCTACCAAGGCCGGCATTTGCAGCCTATTACTCGGCGGTTCGGTGATACCATGTTGCTTCTCATCCACCTGGCTTAACGACATGTTTGTAAGTGCCGGCTTTTCGTGCTGTGTTCAATGTCTATGACAGTTGACAATATCTCAAATTTTAGTCTTAGTGGTAAGTATCCAACATCTTTTTACTTCCTTTATGGACCTTTAAATTTCTTAACGCTCAATTATCAACGGTATGCTAGTATTAGGACTTAGGGGTGACCTAATATTAGCATACCGTATCCTAAGAAATGACTTTGGAGCTAATTTATCTAATTTATTTCTTCCTTCTAGCACCAACCAATTGTGAGGACATCACCTCAAGGTTCAGAAACCACGGTCGAATCGTCTGCGTCTGGAGATCCGTTTTTCGCATCGAATTGTGAACCATTGGAACTCTCTACCGGAACACGTTGTATCAGCACCATCCGTTGATTCATTCAAGGCGAGATTGGACCTCCTGTATGTAACAAATCGAAAGGATTAACACAGACATATAGCCTACTATCCCAAATAAATTGTAAACTGTAAACTGTATTTGTCTCTAATAGATTCCGGCAAAACATGTGAATACCATAGGCTACGTCCGAAGTTGAGTCCCTTTTCAGGGAATATGCTGATTGTCCTGGGATAGTTTCTCCACCCACATTAGAATACAAAAAGCGCTGAAACTGATAACAATTACATGCTAACGCAAGGGGAAATTAATAGTCATAACGGGACTAGAGTAGGATGGAAAATATATGAAAAGAAGAAGATATATCGTGGGGAAAGCCATAGTGGTATACGATCTGCGAGTGCTAGACCAATCTGTTAACATGGTTATCGTTGTGCTCAGAGTCGTCTTAGGAACCGAAGACAAAAAAAAACAAAATAAACGGTCGAGTAACTAGAGGTTGTGTTAATAGAAACAGCTATACTCAGTAGCGTGTCAAACGATACAAGTATTTTTTTCATGTGCTTTCAGCCTCATCAACCCAGATGAATAGTAAATTTAACATCAGATATTGAATTCTGACGAAGTCGTAGGCTATGCAGCCCTGTGACGAATGTCTTTATCAAGAGAGAATCACGACGACATTATAACCAGAAGGAGATCAAACTTTCCAAACACCTCTCATCTGTGAGCTTAAAACGTTTTTCCACTAGCTTCGCACTTAAATATTTTACGATTCAAGTGTCTCACGTATTCTTGTAAAAGAAGATGAAACTACTTATATGAAATATTTGAGATGAAATTGGAGAAAGAATAATATTTTACTTCAAATTTCATCTAAATAGCCAGATTACCTAGAGAGCTCGTACACTTAATAACCTCTATGTATTTTAATAAAGCGAGAACGTTTCGTGTAGAATATAGTGGTACCATCGTTTATTTCGCAGGCTTCTTATCAGCTACGGACAGGAATTAATAAGCTTATGTGCACAGCAATTTCCAGATACTTGCAAATGTTACATGATTTAAGTTGACAAGAGACCGAAACTTAGATGAACAATACTCAGAAATCCCACATATAACTTATACACAGAAGGTTCAGCCGTAGACCAAAAATAAATGATTGGATACAACGACAAGGGGGTTGAGCAACAGAAATCACATAACATTTGCAAATATGTGGAAATTGCTCTGCACATAAGCTTACTAATTCCTGTGGGCTGTCCACAGCTGATAAGAAGCTTATGAAATAAAAAATGGTACCATCATATACTATACAAGCCGTTGTTCTTCCTTTAGTCATATCCGAAGATCTGTTGTCGCAGCCATTTTACAGAATGATTGTGTCCATCAATTCGCCAATATATGTTGTGGTCTCCAGAGTCGCGGAGAAATACTTCCCCGTCACTTCACAGAAGTCATGTTTATTACTTAAGCCATTTCTGTTATCACGAAAGTCCTCAAAGTTACTGTGTAACAAGAAAATGTTTAAAATGTCCCCAAGGCATTCCCCACATGCTGTTAACCTAGAAATGTTAAGAAAGAGAATGAAAATCCTCACATTGTTGACAAAATTCTTTTCATTGTGTTTTCTTCCAACACGATATTACTTATTTGAGGTCATAGTTCTACTGAGGAGCTACAAACTGCAATGAAACAGCTGTCCAGTGCTCCATATTTCTCAATGGCCCCTAACTGATGTTGGTTCATAACGAGATATAAATTGAAGTCTGGTTAGCTTAGTGTGTTTTATGTGCATATTTGTTTACGGTCAGTCCAACCCATCGGGGACTTAAATTTGTTAATTCATGCAAAAGAGGGTAAGCAGGTGGCGATTGTACTACATGAAACCATATTATGTATCTGATCATTTCTCGCAAAATACATGAAGTGATGCAAGCCTACATCGCGTTAGGTGTGTTCACCGAAAGGTGAGTAAGTCAAAGATGTTTACCCCTTGCTATCAAAATTTGTGGAATCCTTGAGTTTCATGTGGTCGAGAACAACGGTGTAGACCGTGTTTCTGATGGCAGTCGACAGTTATTTTTACGAAAGTCAACCCTTCAGTGGCCTCAACAAACCCAGATTCAGGAACTTACATCAGTTTTTAACGCCTCGGAAAAGCGAGGAAGGCATATCCACATAGACTGCCACCAGTGTCGTAGGCACATAGTATGTTGCGGACACAGTGTAAGATTATCCTGCAAGCAAAAAGGCATACGACCCTTGCCATACAACCAAGGATGATATCTTGGTAGGGAGTCGGCTGCAGTCTGAAAATTTTGTGGTGAAAAGATGACAAACGCGAGGAAAGGCCGCTGGGGCAATGACTGCAGTAGGGTAGTTGATGAGCAAAGGCTCTTGTATGGTATCACCAAGATAGCCCCCGCATCGAAATTCCAAAACAAGGATGCGGCCAGCATGCCATGCAAAAGCAGCCATTGGACTATAATACGATGGCGTGTACCACTGACGAATCCAGTGATTCTTGTCCTTCCTAAACCTAGTCGTATTCAGGAAATTCATGAAGTAATCATGAGAAAATTGATTAGGATATGAAGAAGGACTTATTAAAACATATCCGAGCACTGTAACCTCATTAAGGTAGTATCTGGCCCATCTCGCTAGCTAATTCAGTTGCTAACCGACTAAAGCGAACGCAGCGGGTCGGGAATTAATAATAATAATTTATATTTTCATATAAACATAAATTTACATGAAAATGCATGCCATTTTTACAGGCGCGATCAAGTATGATATAATGTCAAATAGTAGATTGTCTACAAGTTAATGTTTGAACAGCCAAATATTTGATATATAAATAAATACACTCTTTGTCTGACCCATGTCGTATGATTATTGAATTAAACAACAGTCCTCCAGGTTGCGCGGGAAAATCGACTTCGTTTCTTTTTCAACCCGTAGTTGTAGGCATACGATGGCCAACCAATATTGAGGTAAGTACAACGTTTACAAGGGATAGTAAGCTGTTTTAGAAAAGTGAAGGTGCTAAGGTGAATCATTAAATTGTAATGAAATAGGTAAATGCGATGTATCATTAATATATGCATTCATAAAGGAAATACAATGGGAGACAATAATCCCTAGTCTGACAAAGTTCATTTGCAATGTATAGTGCTACCCTATAGGTTTTACTATCATGATGTCCACTTTTGGTTTAATACAATTATCCACAAGCCGGTTGTTTTAATTTCATACCTTTTTGTGTATTTGGTGCACAACCGTACCCTATAGAGGATAGGAATAAAATAAGTCGAATCAAATTCATAAAGAGCTGTAAAATGTTAGGTTTAGTAGAATATAATGAGCATGTGAAGACGTTATTAGAAAATGAATGAGATGAGACACTGTTAAGTGATATTCGAAGAAACGACAAAGGAAAGCATGTTAATTTATAAGATGCCCCATAAATCTGTGCAGAGCCCATGTGGTCGCATCTCAGGAATAGGCTGACCGAATGGTATATGTTTAAAGGTAGAAGCATGATCTGTCTAGGCGATCATTATCATCTTTTTCAAGATAAAGATTCAAGCCCTCATAAAAATCTTGAGCCGTCAAATTGCATATTGCTGTTCCTGCAGAATGGGGCGATTCACCTTAGTGTCCACAGAAGTGGTCCTCAGAAGAAATTATTAAGAGGGAAGAGGGCCTATATCAACTAGGAGATAGACCCAAAGATTAGCAGACATGTGAAACTCACCTTAGAAATCAATGCTTCTGAGACCTTTGTGGGCAAACCGAACTTGAAAGTTCAATAGTAATTCACACCAGTAAACGTAGTATCAAAAACAAATTCCATGAGTCCTGAGTATTACGGGGTAAGCTTAGTTCACCTATCAGGATCACCACTGAAATATGGCGTGTCTGTTATTTAAATGAAACCTTTGAGCCGTCATGATCTAGCTTTCCGCGCAGTGGGTAACTAGATATCGCTAGGCCATTGGAGTTGTTCTTCACACTGGAAAAACTCGTGGTATTCGTTACTGGAAATTTACACCTCATAACGGCGGATCACGAGACATGGTCACTTGTAAGAACGCTTTCCAGGAATACATGTTTCCTGTCGAAGTGCTGTATCGAATCCGCAATAATTGATGTGGTGGCTCTTCACTAGAGCATATGGTGCAGTGGAGTAAACCTAAAGTCTCTTTCACTCTAGACAGCTTTAATTCACATCACGTAGACTGGTTAACTCCTGCATACCCACTGACAGTCAGCTTCTCAGCGGACTATTCCTGATTGTCATGGACCATGCCATGGTTCGAAGTGTAAAAAATTATAGACTGCTTGGCACCGCTGAAGGCTATCGCGTTTTGGATCTGAAGATGAGGCATGACGCAGATGACATAAGCATTCTACTTTTTCGTTCTCATCTGCTCTATAGCAATCACTTTAGAAACGTCCTGAGTGTGGATATTATGTCTCTCACGAAAAGCGTTTCAAATGTAAACAGGCTGGTCAGTACTGAATTGCATGGAATGGACACAAGAATACACATGGGATGACTACGTCCGAATACATTCCAGAGGGTGCTAATTAGGTGAACCAGGAACTGTCACTAACGCCATCAACAATCATTGTTGTTGTAAGAAGGTAACTGTCCAGAACTCATAACACTGGT